AATTTCGTAACCCAATCACAAATTTGTCGTCTTTCCTCCAAAGTGAATGTGTAACTTGCTTTGGGCTTGAACACCTTACCATTGTTTGCTGTCTGCAAGTATAATTCAGGCCGCCTGCAATATTCTTGTAAGTCCATTCTAGCCTTCGGGGTATCTTTTGTCTTACCTTTAACATCCATCACTATGTTGAACAAATTGTCAAAATAATTCTTCTCTATATGCATGACATCAAGGTTGTGTCGGAGAAGATTATCCTTCCAATAAGGCAACTCCCAAAATATACTCTGTTTCGTCCAATTATGATTAACACCATATCCGGGGAATCTATAAGGTGGAGCCTCAGTAACTTTACTGAAGTTCTGGACCCTCTCCCAAATTTCCTCACCTGAAAGTATCGGAGGTGGAGAATCATATTCCACTTTATTCTTTTTGAATGCATTTTTCATCCTTCTAAACTCATGATCATCAGGCAAGAATTGACGGTGACAATCAAACCATGATTGCTTTCGGCCATGTTTCAAAGTGAACGCTTTACTATTTTTCATACAGTAAGGATAAGCTAGCTTTCCAGCAGTCATCCACCCAGACAACATTCCATACGCAGGAAAATCGTTAATAGTCCACATTAAATTAGGACGCAAATTGAAATTCTGCTTGGTTGATATGTCATATGTTTCAACACCATCATACCACAATTGTTTTAGCTCATCAATCAAAGGTTACAAATATAAATAAATCAAACCTTTTGGATTACGTGGACTGAGGATAATATAATTTCAGAATATATATGGACTAGTCATATACAACTAAGGTGGTAGATTATAAGGTATAAGAAAGACAGGCTAACATGAGTATGGTGTCGCAGATATAGAAAAAGGCGTGAAGCCATCCGCACACAGACCTAACCGAATGTTCCTTGATTCACTAGCAAAATCTGGATATGTCCTATCAAAGTGTTTCCAAGCTTCTCCATCTGAAAGATGACACATAACACCGGGTGGTCTTCTATTTTCAAAGTGCCATCTCATATGAGGAGCAGAACTCATCGACGCATATAACCTTTTTAACCTAGGTATAAGAAGTAAATAATGCATCGCCTTGACAACGGCCATATTCCCACTGGAAAGCCTCTTGAAACGAGGATTTTCGCAAAATTTACAACTGTCTAAAGTTGCATCATCTTTATAATATAACATGCAACCATCTTCACAACAATCAATTCTCATTGACGAAAGTCCTAACTTAGAAACCAATCTCT